GAAAGTGCAATGCCCCCGCCCCCCAGGGCAGCCCCAGCCTGAGCGGGTGCCCCACCCCAGGGCCCTGCGGGAACGGCTCTTGGTGCGCCCCGGGCAGTTTGCTAAGGGGCGGGGGCGCGGGGCAGGCACCACCGGAGGGGCGGGATGGCCGAGATGGGAGCGCAGAGCCATCGGGCGGCCCCCCAGCGACAGCCCCCCCAGCCTGTCCCCTACCTGCGGCGAAGGCAGCTGCGTCGGGCCGTGGCCGTCGAGGGGGGCCATGAGCAGCCGCTCTCCCAGGATGCCCTTCAGGTGCTGGGCCAGGAGGTCCTGCTGCTCCGGGCCGCAGTGATTCTCCAGCGACAGGATGACGGGGCAGTCGGACGCCTGCCAAGCAAAGAGCCCGCGGCTGCTGGTCCCTGGGGCAGACGCCGAGACCAGGCCAGAGCCTCCGGGTCCCCTCGGCCACCAGGGCCTCCCCGCGGGGACCGGAGTGGGGCTGGGGCCGGCCGGGCAAGAACCCACCCGTCTCCCGAGGGAAGGCCAGGCCGAAAAGTGCCAGCAGGACCCAGCACTGAGTGCCCCCGGCCGAGCCCCCCACCCCCTCCCCCTGCCGAGCCCCCCGTCCCTCCCCCTGCCAAGCCCCTTGCCCCCCGCAAAGCCCCCTGTCCCCCCCCCGTAGCCCCGTGGCCCCCAGCTGAGACCCCTCCCCCTCCTTGCAGCCCTGCACCCCCTGCCGAGCCCCCCGCCCCCTGTCAAGCCCCCTGGCCCCCCACAGCCCAACGCCCCCTGCCAAGCCCTCCACCTCTGCCGAGCCCCCCGCCCCCTCCCTGCTGCCCTGCACCCCCTAGTTACACCCACCCCACTCCCTGCAGCATGACACCACCTAGTGCTGCCGCAGAACCTGGGACACGAGGCTGCAGCGGTGACCCCCCCGGCCCCGTCCCAAAGGGGGGAAGCTGAAGGAACCTGGGGCCTGGATCATGCTTGCAGCACTTCAGCCAGCGCCGGGGTTTTGGCAGGTGACCCAACCTGGTGTCTCCTACCTGTCCCCAAAGCCAACGGTGTGAATGCCCATATAGTGCCTTTCCTCCGGCAGGACGGCCTCGCCTGCCACAGTGATGCAGCCACCTCTGAGCAGAACAGGGCAGCTGCTCAACAGTCAACTCCCCTGGGGCGAGTGGCTCCCAGTGCCGAGCCCGTGGAGGGGACTGTCACCACAAGGGGGCGCTGCAAACATGCCACAGGGCAGGGCCAGCCTTGACCTTTCCCAAAGTGGGATCCCCTGACCCTCTTAGCCAGCGGAGAAGGGTAGGGTGCTCACGACTCCCTGACCCCCGTCGTGACCCACTTAGGGGTTGGGACACCCCACTGAGAACCTGCCCCATGTAGCCACCTAACACACCCTACTGGCGGGGGGCTGCCCTACCTGGAAGGCGTACTGCCCCAGGGTGGTGACCACGTCCTTGAAGGGGATCTTGGAGGTGAACGTGTGGCCGTGGTAGACGACGGGCTCCCCGCTGGGTCCGTCCCAGCAGTCCACCTCCAGGCAGCGGCAGCCCCGCTTCAGAGCCCTGCCAAGGAGACGCCCCGCAGGCTGCTCAGCGCCCTCCACCGGTACCACCGCCCTGCTCCTTGGGGAGCGCGACGCCGGCTCGCCACGGCCTAACCCGGTCACCAACCCACCCTGGGCTGACGGTTACGCCCCAGGGCTGCCGGGCTGGCAGGACTGGCCTGGCCTGGGGAAAGCTGGGGCAGCTCCCGGCTCTGCCACAGCCAGCGGGCCAGTGGCTGCGTTTCCCTGGGCCTCGGTTCTCCATCTGGAATACCGACTTTCTGGTCTGTTGCGCCCAGGCTGGCTGCCAGCTCTTAGTACAGGGACAGTCCCCTCTGTGTGCGTGCAGCAGCTGGGGATACACAGAGGAGTGAGCGGGGCCAGGTGTAATGCGATGGGCCGCCAGCGATGGGCTCCCTCTGTCCCCTACTCACGGGGTCTAATGATTCGACCGCAGTGTTCCCTGCTTTGGCAGGTGACCCAGCCCGGTGCCTCCTACTTGGCCCCAAAGCAAACAATGCTAATCCCTCTGCAGGGACGGCCTTGCCTACCACAGGGATGCAGCCACCTCTGAGTGGAACATGGTAGCTGCTCAACAGCAACGCTCCACGAGACAGGCAGCGACAGGGAATATCCCATCCAGGCAGGGGCTTAGGGTGGGAGAATGACGTTTCCCATATTGAACTTGGCCAGGGACAGTGGGGCTAATCCTACAGCTCTGCTGAAAGGGGGCAGGGGGACCTAACGACCCTACGTGGTCAGGCATTGGGTTTACATCTCATTGGAAAGGCAGCACCTCCAGCAAATCCACAGCTCCCCTCCCGCTGCACCAGGACACCGAGGCAGGATGAACCCAGAGGCCCCCCGCAGCCCTTTGTACCCAACACTGCCCCCCCGGCAGCCCCTTCATACCCGACACTGCCCCCCATGGAGACCAGGTGATGCCCTTTGGGAGCAGCTGCCTTCTCCTCACGTACCTGATGTAGCCCTCGACGCTGCTCTGGCCCCGGAGCTGGTCCTCCAGCAGGTAGGTGTTGTGCGAGGAGGAGATGAAATAGTGGCAGAGGGGTTGGGTCATGTCCTGACAAAGCGGCCCATGAGCGGGGTTGAAGATGGCCCCTTCCGGCGAGAGCAGGTACAGGAGGAAGCCGTCGACACTCAGCATGTGCCGTGCCCTGGCTGGAGAGGAAGGAGCCGAGACAGTGCAGCGTCAAGAGACCGGGGAGCTCGGTCCAGCTGCCCCACCCAGCGAGGGACCCGTCTCCTGCGGGGCCCTGAGCCCAGGGCAAGAGGAGAGAGCTCCTAGCTATTTGGAGGAAAGCAAGCGTGGTGCCAATCTTCCCAAAAGGGGAGAAGGGAGATCCTGGCAATGACCAGAGCTAATAAAATGCCAGAGGCCATAGTAAGAGGGAGGGAAAAATCACTAAATATCTAGAGGGTGAGAGAAATGCGGGCAACAGGCAGCACTGGGCGGAGACTAGAATAAATCCTGCGGGGCAAATTGTGCTCCGTTGCAGCTGCCGGGGTCACAGCCCCAAACACAGCAGGCCAGGCTCGATAATGCCGCGTGCAGTCGTAGTCTTATTGCGCACTCAAATTGCCCCGAATCTGACTCTCCCCTGGGGCCCGAGGCCGGCTGCCATCAGTGCGGAGTTGGGAGCGGGGTCCTGCCAGCTCCCAGCGGGGTGCGCGCTAGGGTCCATCTGGTTCTTGAGCGGCGTTTCGCAGCCAGTGGGACGTGAAAGGCAATTGGGGAACCTGAGACACTGAACATTTTATTACAATTTAATACCAAGACAATCCCCCACCCCACATAGTGCCCAGACCCTGCAGGGGTCCCGGTCCCACCCCGGAGACACACCCATGTGGCAGGCACACTGGCACGGCACGTTGGCATCCATGCACTTTTCACTCTTACTGTGACAGCGGCTGTAAGGAGATCACAAAAACTGAGCTTCGAATAAGGGGGCACCATCCTGGGAAGGGTGAGCCCCATTGCTCCCAGTCTGGGAGAGGAATTTGGCTGGGAACCTCCCCCAAGGAAAGGCTGAGAGCCCCGTCACTATGCACGTGTAACAGACCAAGCAAAGAGCTAGCTGGCCCTGTAGGGAAGGGGCTGCCTTGGCCCCCGGGGCTGGTCCCTTCCCTTGCCCTGTTCCATGACCCTCACCGGTCTCAGACGGCTCGTATCTGGCAATCAGCTCCATGGCGAACTCCTGCGTGTTTTCCCCCTCCAGCTGCTCCTGCTGCAGGAAATCCACAAACTCCAGCAGGGTCAGTTTCTTCCCGTCCTGGGAGAACACCTGGAAGACGTCCAGCACGTCGTCTCGCCTCGTCAGTGCCTTGTAGAACAGCACGAACTCCTCGCCCTCCAGCGTCCCCGACTCCGACCTATCAGCCATCTGCAGCGAGAGCAGGGCCTGAGGGAGGCCACAGGACTGACCATGCCAGTGCATGTCCCCCCTACCCGCCCACCCCGGCACTGACTGCCCCGTAGCACTGACCACCCCATGCGTCAGGAGTGGGGCTGCTGCCAAAATCACCTCCACCTGCCACAGTGAGATCTGGCCTTTATTCACCTTCCTTAGATATGCCATAGTGGGCACTATAAACAGCTCTGTGGGTTATGGATGGTAAGAGATGGCAGGATGGATGATGAGTACAGGTGGACGGGTGGATGGATGGATGATGGGTACAGAAGAATGGGTGGATGGATGGATGGATGATAGGTACAGGGGGATGGATGGATGGATGATGGGTGGACGATTGGATGGATGGATGGATGATGGGTACAGGTGGATGGATGGATGATGGGTGGACGATTGGGTGGATGGATGGATGATGGGTACAGAAGGATGGATGGATGATGGGTGGACGATTGGGTGGATGGATGGATGATGGGTACAGGGGGATGGATGGATGGATGATGGGTGGACGATTGGGTGGATGGATGGATGATGGGTACAGGGGGATGGATGGATGGATGATGGGTGGACGATTGGGTGGATGGATGGATGATGGGTACAGGTGGATGGATGGATGATGGGTACAGAAGGATGGATGGACAATGGGTACAGATGGACGGGTGGATGGATGGATGGATGGATGATGGGTACAGAAGAATGGACGGGTGGATGGATGGATGGATGGATGGATGGATGGATGATAGGTACAGGTGGATGGATGGATGGATGATGGGTGGAAGATTGGGTGGATGGATGGATGATGGGTACAGATGGACAGGTGGATGATGGGTACAGAAGGACAGGTGGATGATGGGACGGTGGATGGATGGATGGATGATGGGTACAGGTGGATGGATGGATGGGTGGATGGGTGGGTGATTGGGTGGATGGATGGATGATGGGTACAGAAGGACAGGTGGATGATGGGACGGTGGATGGATGATGGGTACAGGTGGATGGATGGATGGATGGATGGATGGATGGATGATGTGAATCGGTGGATGGGTGGGTGATTGGGTGGATGGATGGATGATGGGTACAGGTGGATGGACGGATGGATGGGGGGTACAGGTGGACAGGTGGAGGGATAGGGAATAGCCAGGCTTGGTAAAATCTCTTTCCCTCTATTTTTCTAAAGCTAAACTTCGGGTCCCAGGGGACTCTGGGGTGTGTCCTCTGCAGCTGCCTGCCAGGCGGGGGCGATGCCGGGCCATGGGGGAGGGAGGGAGGGAGGGAGAAGAGCAAGGCCATCGCTGGTTGGACCCATGTGGCTCCAGCAGAGACACAAGGACCCCCCCACCCCGCCCCACAGGGATAGCCCTACTGGCAGCCCTTCCATCAGTCCCTTGTGACCTGCTCCGTTCGAGGGCTTCCTTCTGAAAACAGCCTTTGGGTGGGGGTGACACCAGCCTGCTCCAGCTTGGCCCTCCCCCAGGGCAAGTTCCCCTCACCTGGAAGAGCCGGAGCGCATGGTCCTCGTTCATGTCCATGTTCATCATCTTGAGGAGCTGCCGCACCTCCTTGAAGCTCATGCGTCCGTCCTTGTTCTTATCGGCCTTCTGGAACCAGTCGCAGATCCACCTGCCGGGGGGGGCTAAGGAAAGTGAAAGGGGGGGGCTGAGAGTACCCTGAGCTCAGTGTGCGCTGCAGGGGCCCGGGTCTGAGGTGGGGCAGGGGAACAGGTGGGTGCTGTCCATAGGCTGTGGGCACCGGTGGTATCCCCCCACACTGACCCAGCTAAATGCCCACCAGTTCCCAATGCCCCCCAGACATGAGCACATGGCACATCCCTGCCCCAGGGGCCCTTCCCCATCCACTGAGGAGGAGACACCCAGGGGACATCAAGGCAGCCAGGCCCGTCCCCCAGGCTGACGGGGGTGTCTCCCAGCCATGACCCCTGGCTTTGCTCCTCTGCGTGGGTGAAAGGGCACCGAGGAGGCAGGGGAGGCCGGGGCTTGGGGCCAGGCTGGCGGAAGGATATTGATCCATCTTCTCCTGCTGGTCCATCTTGGTGACGATCTCCACCAGGCGACGCAGGCCCCGGACCCAGCACTGTGCCTCCTCGGGGGAGCCGGCGATCAGGTCCAGGTTCCCGCGCCGCCCATGGAAGACGACAGTGAAGCAGTGCTCGGGTGGGAACTCCTCGGCCAGGCTCTGCAGCACCTCGGACTGGTGCCCCTCCCGCACCGTCTCCACGTCGCTGATGGAGACTGGATGGATGGGAGGGGTGGGTCAGGCTCCAGAGTGGGGCAGGGCCTGCACCAGATGTCACCACCCCCAGATCTATCTGTCCGTCCGTCTCTGGGGTCTGTCCCTTGGTATCTAAACACTGGGAGACCCTATGAAATAGGGCCCTGTGCTGGAGACCCTGGGAGAATCAGTTGGCGATCGCTTCCCCAACCCATACAGTGCCCATGGTCTCCCACAGGATGGCAGGAAGGGGGCTGTGATGGGAGATGGAGAAGGGAAGGTCTGACAATCAGGCTCAGACACCCCAGGGTGAAAATATAAGAACGGCCAGACTGGGTCAGACCAAAGGTCCATCTAGCCCAGTTTCCTGTCTTCCAACAGTGTCCAGGGCCAGGTGCCCCAGAGGGAATGAACGGGACAGGGAATGATCACGTGATCCATCCCCTGTTGCCCATTCCCAGCATCTGGTCATCAGAGATTTAAAGATCATGGGGTTGCATCCCTGCCCATCTTGGCTAATAGCCACTGATGGACCTGTCCTCCAGGAACTTCTCTCGTTCTTTTTTGAGCCTCTTTTGGCCTTCACAGAGGATCTGAACCCCAAAAAACAAGAAACTGAATCAACTGTCTACAATGTCAATGCACACTGGAAGTTCATCAACACAGGGCTGTTATGCCAGCGGATGCGTGTCCGGAGCTGTGGCTGTGTGCTGGGAACATGTTCCTGAAATACTGTTTGGAGCACACTTGACACACAAGTCTGTCCTAGAAAGCAGAATGATTTCGGCCTGTTTGCCGGGGTCTCCAAGGTAAACTCAGCCGGGTGATGCCAGAGACAATGGATGTTACATTCACTTCCAATTCGACAGGGGAGGGGAAGTCACAAGGGAGAGACAAACAGCAGGGGGGAAACTTGCTCTGGGGAGACGCTTCCGAAGAATACATTGCAAAGGTTGACTGGACTAGAAAAGGAAGGGGAGAAAACCCCTTAGGTATCCACCACCCACAGGGGAAAGAGCCAGCGCTCGTGGGATCTGTGAAAGGTGGATCCTTCAGGCCTGTGGGCTGGAGATGCTGAGAACTGACCGTAAACGAGCCATTGCCAGAGACCTGGCTTGTAACCCGATAAGTGCTAGGCACGAGAAAGCCTGTTTTCACGTTTGTTTGATTCTTAACCAGACTCGCTCTTTCTCTTGCAGGACGTCCCTTCAATCTCTGCTCTTTCTTCACAGCTGTTCTCCGTTTGCCTGTAAACCCTGTGAGCGCTGAGAAGCAGGCGCAGTGTGCACTGGCTTGGAGGCAGTGGCTTTACTCATTTCGGTGAGTGTTCTGTGAGAGGGACCAGATGCTGCAGAGAGACGCCGCTGGGGAGCTCAGGAACTGGGGGTCGCTGCATGGCACCTCCGTGGCCAGGTTAAGACTGGCAGAGTCTCGGGACTTTGCTGGTGTGGTGGACAGGCTGGTGTAGCAGGCAGCTGCTACAGCAGACCCCGAGCAGAGCATCACAACAAATCAGGGGCCATCTGAAAGGAATCTCAGGGCTCCAACCGGGAGGGACATGGGGGACACCTTCCTGCATGGACACGCATGCACACACATACACAATCACACACACACATACACGTGCATCTAACCACCCATATATACAACCACACACCTACCATGCACATAGAATCATAGACTCATAGACTTTAAGGTCAGAAGGGACCATCATGATCATCTAGTCTGACCTCCTGCACAATGCAGGCCACGGAATCTCACCCACCAACTCCTGTAACAAACCCCTACCTTATATCTGAGCTATTGAAGTCCTCAAATCATGGTTTAAAGACTTCAAGGTGCAGAGAATCCTCCACATACCCATGTCTGTACACCCACCATACACACACCTTGGTTTGCACACACACATCGATGTGGGTTTGCATGCACAGCCACACACCGTTCACTCTGAACCCTACTGAGCACCCAGTGAGCTGGCACACAGCAGTAGCTGTACTCACAGGTATACTTGGTGTAGCCAGTCTTCTTGGACTTGTACCAGACGGTCATGCAGTCGTCCTGCAGCCTGAAGTATCTCTGCTTCTTCCAGCTCTTGGACTTCACCTTCCGCATCAGAGTCCCCTGCTGCATCTGCTCCAGGGTCTCATCCAGCTGGAGGCCTGCGGGTGCGGGGGGAGGGGGGAGAGAGCAGGCGCTCAGCGAGGGAAGACCGGGGAGGTGGCACCGCTGGGAGTGGCCTGCCATGGGAGTGGATGCCTGCCGCCGGCCTTGGCCAGCACCCACACAAGGTGCACAGTGCTGGTCGGCTGACACCTGCCCCCGAGACCCAGGCAGCTTCCCAGTGATCTGAGGTCTTCTTAGGGGACAATTGGGGCTCATTGGCCTCCCCTGAAAGGGGCATGACAAATGGTGCCCGAGTAAGGCACTTGCCCCATCATGCAACCAGCATCACTGGAACAAACCTACTACACCATTAACCCTTTGGTGACTGTGATAGACCTACATGCTCTTGTACCCACGGGACAATGGCCGCATCACCCCGAAAGGTGGGGTGGGGGGGTTCGGACCATAGTTACAATGGAGTGACTCTGGAGTGGAGTCACTCCAGATTTACACTAGGGTGCCTGAGATCAGAGTCCGCACTCTCCCGTTACACCTCACATGGGGCCAACTCCTCAGCTGGTGCAAACAGGCAGAATCAGCAGTTTTACACCAGAGGGTCTGGCCCCAGAGACTTCTCCTCTTCTGCATTGTGGACAACCCCGCTGCTGAGCAGCCCTGTGTGAATCCGACTCGCCCCAAAGATGTCAGCCCTTGAGCTTCCCTGGGGTTCTGGGGGGCATTTGGGGCACCTTCTTGGAACGGACTGACCCGGACTGGAATTCCAGTCCCTTGCTGCCAGGGTGCCTCCTGGGAGTTGTAGTCCCATGTCCGGGGTGCCTCTGTTCTCCCGTATGGGCCCTGCTCCCCGGCTGGCCTCTGTCTCCCATCGGGACGTGATCAGCTCACCCGTGGAGAGCTAGTGGCTATGGGGGAAGTGCTCTAGCTTGCCCAGCTTCCATGGCATTGCACCAGGAGTGACTGCAGAGAGCCCCAGATGCTGGCTGACCCAGCCCTGCCGCACCTGTCTGAGCTCTCCCAGCTCCCCCCAGCGTGCGCTGCTCTAGCCCCTGGTTCAGGTTTGCTGTTCGCTCGAGCTCCACAGACTTTGGGGCAGTCCCAGGGATCAGGACGAGGCAGGGGCCCAGACACCACAGGGGGCAGGCCCCCCTCCACCCCCTGGCCAGTGCTGGCAGGATTGTGAATGGGTCTGACCCTGCCCCGTGATTCGCCCAAACCCATGTCATTCTCTCCTGCCCCGCTCACACATCATTCGGCCTGGGGGAAGCTCCAGAGACACTCACGGGGGCCGTACAGGTGCAACGCCATCACGCTGTTGTCAGGGGCTTGGCCCGACAGGCGTCTAGCAAGAGAAAACACCAGAGTCATTAAATACAGTCACATCTGCCTGTCTTATCCAGACAGCTCCTGTCCCATGGCATCAGGGCACTCTGCAGCAGGACGGGGGGTGTCGGCACAGCTGGGAGGCTGTGGGGGCAGCTCAGGGCTGGAATAGCTGGTGTTGCATACACCAGGCTCGGCATGATAACATGGGAGGACTCCAGGCGTGTGAAACAAAATTAGCTCTTTATTAAGGGCACCAGGGACAGCGGTGCTGCGACCGCAGTCGGCATTCCAGCCATGTGCACACAGACTGACTGCCCGGCGCCCCCTCCAAACGCTTCTGTGACGATGTGACGCAGCAGGGAGGGGGGAGTGTTGACCTGGGAATGTGCCCTGGGGGTGGGAGACCAGAGAGCCTGTCACCTGAGCCAGGAGGGGGAGGGGGAGGTAACACCTCTGCCCACGAATGTGAAGACAGGCTGCAGGAGAGAGCCTGCGGAGGGGGGGAGTTTAGTTTCAGTTTGGGGCTGGGTGGAGGAACGCAGGGAACCCCAGGGCTTGGGTCTAAGCTCCCTGTTCCCCCAGAAGGACTTGACTGAGGGGTCCTGGGTGTACCCACAAGCTCCGTTTTGGACTGTGTTCCTGTTGTCCAATAAACCTTCTGTTTTACTGGCTGGCTGAGAGTCTCAGTGAATCCCAGGAAGAGGGGTGCAGGGCCTGGACTCCCCCACACTCGACAACTGGTGTGAGCGGTGGGATGTACTGCACCCTGTGAACGGCGCTTCCTGCAGTAAGTGACTGGGGAACAGTAAAACGAAGAGGGATTGACAGGGACCAGGTGTGCTGAAGAGTCAGAGAGAGACGGTTCCAGGGGGCGGTTAACCCCTGGGAGTGTGTGACCAGAGAGAAGGACTTTTGCAGTAACAGGGTCCCCCGGGGGATTGCAGCAAGCGGTCCCAGGGGCGGAGGAGTCTGCAGCTCGACCCTGGCAAAGAGTCGGTGACCTCAAGAAGGACTGGCACACTAAGGGCTTTTCCTGGAAACCGTGGGAAGCTGCCAGGCCTGCGAGTGGCCAGCAGGGAGATGTACGCTAAACGCCTTAAGAGCGACCTGGTGGAGCTGTGCAGGCAGAGGGGGCTGCGCGTCGGGAGGTCCACCAAGGAACAGCTGATTGCCCAGTTGGAGGCTTCCCTGTCCCTGAGGGAAGCCGCCCGGTGGATGCAGCGTGGGCCCTGGGGCCTGACCGGGCTGGGAGGGGTCAGACTGCTGCCCAGGACATCCCGAGACCCTTCCTATCTATGCCTGGGGGAGGGGTTGGGGGAAGCCCGCCGAATACCGAGGGCACCCTGATCCCGGCAGCCAGCAGGGGATCCTCCCAGCGGAGCTCCCCATCCCTGGAGCGGAGGCGGCTGGAATGGGAGAGGGAGATGAAAATGAGGGAGCTGGAGGATCATGAAAAACAACATCAACATGAGGAGAAACAACGTCAACATGAGCAGGAGGAGAAGGAGAAACAACGTCAACATGAGCAGGAGGAGAAGGAGAAACAACGTCAACATGAGCAGGAGGAGAAGGAGAGGGAGCGTCAGGAGAAGGAGAAACAAAGACAGCATGAACTGGAGCTGGCCAGGCTGAGGAGCAGTGGGCCCCGGCTGTGGTGAGTGAGGGGGGACCCAAGACTGCAAGGAGCTTTGATAAGTGCTTCCTGGCCCAGCGGAAGGAGGGGGAGGACACAGATAGCTTCCTGACGGCCTTTGAGAATGCCTGCGAGATGCACAGGGTTGACCCTGCAGACAGGCTCCAGTTCCTCACCCCCTTACTGGACCCCAAAGCCGTGGAGGTGTACAGCCAAACGACAGGGGCGGAGGCAGGGGACTATGAACTGTTCAAACAGGCCCTGCTCCGTGAGTTTGGGCTGACCCCCGAGATGTACCGGAGAAGGTTACGGAGTCAGCCTACAACGCCCGAGGTCACCTACCTACAACTGGTCAACCGGATGCAGGGATATGCCCACAAGTGGACAGCTGGGGCCCAAGCTAAAGAGGACCTGCTTGACCTAATCGTACTGGAGCAGCTGTATGAACAGTGCCCTTCCTCCCTGAGACTGTGGTTGGTGGACAAAAAGCTAGAGAATCCCCAGCACGCAGGGCAGCTGGCCGACGAGTTTGTGAACAGTCGGTCAGGGGGTAGCCGGGAGGAGTCCCAAAAGAACAGCCCCCCCCCCGATGCAGAGAGAGAGTCACCATGGGGCCTCCCAGCGGGGAAATAGGGAGAACCCCCTCCAAAGGGGAACACCTGGCGTCGGGCCCCTCCGACCCGCTCGAGGGGACCAACGTGACCTGAGCTGCTATCACTGTGGCCAGAGAGGCCATGTACGGACCCAGTGCCCCGGGCTCAGGGACAAACTGAACAGACCCAACCTACTCAGGGTTAACTGGGTAGGGACCCAGCTGGACGAGGGGCAGACGACCCAGTCAAGGGGGGCTACCAGTTTATCACCTGCGCAGGAGGGAAGAGTACCCCAGGCCAGCTCCGCCAGAGGGCTGGAGGCTCTGGACTCATGGTGCTCGGTTTACAGGGTGGGCGCGGGGCTGTCCCTCCGGAGAGAGTGCCTTGTTCCCCTGGAGGTGGATGGGAGGAAGGTCAATGGATACTGGGATACGGGCGCGGAGGTGACGCAGGCCCGGCCTGAGGTGGTGGCCCCAGATCGGGTGGTGCCCAACACCTACCTGACCCTGACAAGGGTGGGCGGGACCCCATTTACGGTGCCTGTGGCAAGGGTACACCTGAAATGGGGGGCCAAGGAGGGCCCCAAGGATGTGGGGGTACACCACCATTTGCCCACTGAAGTTTTGATGGGGGGGAGACCTAGAGGACTGGCCAAGCAAGCCCCAGACCGCCCTGGTTGTGACCCGTAGCCAGAGCCGGCGAGGGGCCCTGCGCGCTGACCTTGGGGAGGGTACCACACCGGAGGCGCAGGACCCTACCCTGGTGGGAAGGGAGCGCCGAGGGGCACGGCTCAGAGAGGCTGAGGCCTCAGACCTGGCCACTGAGGGGGAACCGGGCCCCATCCCTTCCCCAGCCGCTGAGTTCCAGGCCGAGTTGAGGAAAGATCCCTCCTTGCGGAAGCTCAGGGACCTGGCCGACCTCGGTGTGGGACGGACCATGAGGAGAGGCTGCCAGGAGAGGTTCCTGTGGGAGAAGGGGTTCCTGTACCGAGAATGGGCTCCCACAAGGGAAGTAGAGTCCTGTGGGGTCAGGAGGCAGCTGGTGGTCCCCCAGAAGTATCGCCGCAAGCTCCTGTCCCTGGCCCATGACATCCCCCTCGCAGGGCACCAGGGAATCCGGCGCACCCGGCAGAGGTTGCTACAGAACTTTTACTGGCCCGGGGTCTTTACCACGGTCCGGCAGTATTGCCGATCCTGTGACCCCTGTCAGAGGGTGGGGAAGGCCCGGGACAAGGGGAAAGCGGCTTTGAGACCTTTGCCCATCATAGAGGAGCCTTTCCAGAAGGTGGCCATGGACATCGTGGGGCCTCTCAGCAAGGACGACCCGGTCGGGGAAGAAATACATTCTGGGGGTGGTAGATTTTGCCACCCGCTACCCCGAGGCAGTGCCCTTAGCTTCCGTTGAAGCAGACACCGTGGCCGACGCGCTCCTGACCATTTTCAGCCGAGTGGGGTTCCCCAAGGAAGTCTTGACAGACCAAGGCTCCAACTTCATGTCGGCCCTGCTCCGGTGCTTGTGGGAGAAATGTGGGGTCCGGCACGACTGGGCCTCAGCTTATCACCCCCAGTCCAACGGGCTGGTGGAGAGGTTCAATGGGACGCTAAAGATGATGCTGAAAACCTTTATGAACCAGCACCCGCAGGATTGGGACAAGTACTTACCTCACCTGCTGTTCGCGTACAGGGAGGTGCCACAGGAGTCTACCGGATTTTCGCCTTTTGAACTGTTATATGGAAGGAGGGTGAGGGGCCCCCTAGACCTGATGAGAGACGAATGGGAGAGGAAGGCCACTCCCGACGGAGAGTCAGTGGTGGAGTATGTCCTGATCTTCCGAGAGAGACTGGCTGAACTCATGGGCCTGGCCAGGGAGAATCTGGCCCGAGCCCAGAGGAAGCAGAAGGTCTGGTATGACCGCATGGCGCGGGCCCGTGCCTACGCCACCGGGGATCCGGTGATGGTTCTCATCCCCGTGAGAAAGAACAAACTACAGGCCACCTGGGAGGGCCCTTTCAAGGTTGTCAAGCAGCTCAATGAGGTAAACTATGTGGTGGAGCTGTCGAACCGGGCGCACCACCGCCGGGTGTACCATGTGAATATGATGAAGCCATATTATGCCGGGGGAATGTGGTGTTGGCCACGTGTGGACAGTGGGAGGAGCAGGGAGATGACCCTTTAGTAGATCTGTTCCCTGGGACCAGAGCTGGTTCCCCCCTGGAAACAATTCCCCTCTCGGATCAGCTAACCCCTGCCCAGCAAGCTGAGGTCAGGGGGGTGCTGCATCCGTACCGACAGCTGTTTTCCAACCAGCCTGGACGCCCTAATCTGACTGTCCACCGGGTGCAGACAGGGTCGCACCCGCCGATAAGATGCTCCCCCTTCCGAGTCACAGGGAAAACTGCTCAGGACCTGGAAAGAGAGGTCTGGGACATGCTGGCTTTGGGGGTGATCCAGCCATCGGCCAGCCCTTGGGCCTCGCCGGTGGTGCTGGTCCCCAAAAGGGATGGGTCGGTCCAGTTCTGTGTGGACTATCGGAAGCTCAATGCCATCACTGTATCTGATGCCTACCCCATGCCCAGGCCGGACAAGCTCCTAGGCAAGCTGGGAGGAGCTCGGTACCTTACCACCACGGATCTTACAAACGGCTACTGGCAAGTGCCGCTGGATGCAGATGCCCGGCTGAAATCGGCCTTTATCACCCCTCTGGGGCTCTATGAGTTCCTGACCCTGCCTTTCGGCCTCAAGGGAGCACCGGCCACCTTCCAGCGCCTAGTGGACCAGCTCCTGAGGGGGATGGAGAGTTTTGCCGTGGCGTATATTGATGACATCTGTGTCTTTAGCCAGACCTGGGAGGACCACGTGTCCCAGGTTAGACAAGTGCTGGACCGACTCCAGGGGGCTGGGCTGACTGTAAAAGCGGAGAAGTGCAAGGTGGGGATGGCGGAAGTATCTTACCTGGGCCATCGGGTGGGGAGCGGCCACCTAAAGCCGGAACCAGCCAAGGTGGAGGTGATCAGAGACTGGCCCGCTCCCCACACCAAAAAGCAGGTCCAAGCCTTTATTGGGATGGCAGGATACTACCGAAGA